AAGTTTAACTTACAGCACTTGATTCTCCATTATCATTTTTTACCACATTTGGACTTGTACAGAAAACTTGTAAATGAAACTTACAATGCGGTTATTTCATTAACTTGCCGCGCATTAGCACCGTTGACGAAATTACAGCCACAATGGAGCTCCATTCCTTAGAATGAAGAGCCATCGCCAATCAAAATAAAACTTAATGGGATTTCGCAAACCGTCTCCACTTCTCTGCGTTCCGGAACTATTGCCAGCAATCTGATGCCACATCCACACCTTCCTTATTAAGGAATAGCTGGTGTGGTATCTGCCTTCACTTCGCCATCTCTTTCTCTTCTGAACCTCCTTCATCGTGAACCAGTGTCGAACTGGCTCATCCTTCTGAAAATCTCCCTGTTTCGCTCGTTGTTGGCGCTCGAAGGGGCGAGTACGAACCGGCTTTCATTTTCAAGATCCTGCTACAGATCCCGTTCGCGTTCCAAGAACTTGTAATATGCTTCGAACTGTTCCTAAGATGACGGAAGACTTAAGAGATGTACTAAGCCCGCTCTTGAAACCTCCAACACTTCATCGCTTAAGTCCCACGTTCGGTCCTTCCCAGCCTCTTCTTAGGTCATTAATCTAAAAAAGTATATTGATTGTTACAACCAATGAAAAGTTTAATAAAACATTGAATCCACGCAGCGAATACACGCACTGATAATTATTTGATAATTCCTTTGCAGAACTACAAATCCTCACAAAAAATTTCATTGTAAGGGTGAGCATTCTGCTCCGCTTATTCATTCCGCTTGTTTATTTGCTGGTCTGTTTGTTTACAGCTCAATTCTTTTGCATGAATTTTAATAATCATGTTATCAGTATGGACACAAGTGAAACAAGTATATCATATGGAATCTGGTATAAGTACCTAAGTGAATCTAGTACATGTACAGTTAGTAAGAGAGCAGAGAGACGAAGAAATCGTCTAATCACATGGGCTCATTCCATAATTTCTTTCTAATCATATTATGCCGGATGAAAGTAACAATGTGAACAATCATACACAACTTAATTACAGAGTTTAAGGAAATATTTTTGCTTAATCAAATAGATAAGGTTAAAATGAAACCTTGCTTTCCTACCCTACAAAACTTTGCTAGGGAGCGCAACACAGACAATCATACGAAATCTTAGTGCTTCCCAGTAGATGTCCTTTAACTTTAGCATATCACACTGTTAATTAAATTCTGATAAAGAGACATTTGAGGAGAGTTTTAGAGTTAACTACTTTTGTCAGAGATTTTGTTATCACTCTCTCCCTTAAAATTAAAACCGCTGCATTAGAACCTCAACGTAAGATGATGAAAGCGGAAACTGATTGTTGGAAAATATTTCCTTTCCCTTCAAATGTTCAATAATTTGAGCGCTATCGTCCATCTAAAATTCTCACTCCACGAAATAAAGCCTCATCTGTGGTCCCAAAATCATTTCCACGACAAGTGAAAGTGGTAGCTTTTACGTAGTGAATTCGCAATACACCCATCCCTCCTGATGCCAAATCCTCAGAAGGAAGTGGGAAAAAGTTGCGTCATTTCACGATATTTTAAGCAATTATATAGGAATGCTAACTTTTCTTAGCTGAGCAGTGGGTTTAATCATTTTTTTCTGAGCTATACTAGTGGAAACTTATAGAACGATGGTTTCCTGGTTCTTTTTTTTCATGGTACTCTTTTTGTGCAGTTGGCGCCTGAACTGTTTTTATTCAAAAGAACAACCACGTGGGATAAATTCATATATCTTAGAGAAAGCTATTACGCAACATTCGTGAGAAGCCACATACCAAAACAAAATGCTTACTAGAAGGATAACCTCGGATCCGCGTTGATAAAACAAAGCTATGCATGCATAAACCCTTAATAACAACCCAAATTTCCGGGCTCAAGTGTTAGATAAATCCCATTGCTGTTCAGATTCATCAATAAACCTAGCAAATCACCCAGGAAGCCCAAAATAATTCACTTTTGTCCTTAATCCTATCACAATTCCCACGATCTCACACGTTCACATTTCTGGTCATGACGTCAAACACGATTAACAAAAAATGGTACGGTATTAATTGTTAAACGAACTATATGTTGGGGATAGAAGGAGGTAAGGCCGCTCTGTCCTTTGTACGCTTTCAGTAGTAGGTGTGAATTGATTTCGGAGAGAGAGAGAGAGAGAGAAAGATGATGGAAGCCCATTTGGGAACAACGTGTAAAGTGGCAAACAGTAAGTGTTCATTCAAATGGCCGAAGAATTTTGCAACCCAAAAGCAATATTGCACATATAGTTGAAGGTAATATAAATTGATCCAAATAAGTCATCTTTTCTATCTCATTGATGTTTTAAAGGTTAAAAGAAGAGAAACAATGTGATAATAAGAAGTATTATCATATCAGTAGATTTTGGATAAGCAAATATAAGAGATAGAATAAATGTGATTTAGGCAAAATTCTCCTTCATATAATCCTTATCTTTCCAACTATCCTACTGTACACAAATCCTTTGTCAATCAAAATTTTTCTTTTTATCTTCGGTTAAATAGCGCATATCTATGCTTGTCATCACTAAAAGCGAGTAAATGTGTTTCTGTAATAAGTTAGTACACAAATGTGCGTTTGTAATAAATGAATTACATTAGCACAGGTAGTGGCATTCATTGTAAATTAATAATGCTTAAATGTGCTGTTTTTGACTTTAAATAATTGTTCAAATTGTATTTATGATAAATTGAAAACGTACAAATGTACATTTGCTGACTTTCGAAGACCATTTGTGACTACTTAAAAAGGCTGTTGAGTGTATGGATACCCAAATGGACATTTGTGATTAGTTAATAAAAAGCGAATGCTCACTTGTCGTCGTTTAAAGCAGCAAAAATATGGGATTATAATCAGACAATAAAATACACATGTATATGCTTTGTCGTCTAATGTTCGCGAATGAAAGAAGTTAAGAATGCGCAGATGTTCATTTCTTGACTATTTAGAAGGCTCAAGTACACCTTTGTCGCTTTTTGAAACGGTACAAGTGTGCGTCTGTGACAAGTTAGCAATGCGCAAATATGCATTTGTCGATTTTTCAGACAGCGTAAATGCACATTTTTTGCTTTTTAATTTGGCGCAAATATGTGTTACTGAAGGCTAAGCTGGCACTAATGCAGATGGGTTGGTTAATTAGGTCATGCAAATGGATATTTCTTTCCTTTTGCAGAACCCAAACATGTGTTATGTCCAACTAACGAGTCCGCAAATGTACGCTGGCTAACATTTCAGATAGCGTGAACGTATATTTGTTGCTTTTTTAATTGTTTGTAATAGGCTAGCAGTGCACATAATAAACTTGTTGACTTTTTAGATAGCCTTTGTAATCAATGTGTATCATTATTTAAATTATTCTATTAAATGTGCTCCGGTCTTTTTGAGGACTTTTCGTTATTTCAGTATTGGCTTGCAACTTCTAATCTGAAGTATGCTTTTTCTAATGATTAGTAATATTCAAAAATTGAGCAATATCTCCGGTCCACATCAATAAAACGGCCGTCAGTTGCGTTCTCAACAAGGGAACAAACGTTTGCAGTTGCTGTCAGCCTCTTGGTTTGACGTAATAGACGAACATATGCCTTTTTCACTTATTCATTCTACTTCGGATGTTTCCTCAACCTTATGTACCCTTCCCGTGCTTCCTGTCTAGTCTGTGCTACTATTACATTTGTACTTGATAGACCATCCAGATGACACCCAATTGCACATCACCATCATTCATGCTACAAACTTAGAAACCCCTTCAGTTGTACAGAGTAAATTTATTTGTCAAACACATGTAACCTTTATTTAAATGCGCACTTCATTTATTCGTTGAGTAAATAATTCTTATATTCCTAGTCAAATCATATTTTAATCTATTACATTTTCATTTGGTTCCCTTTTTTCGTGTTGCTTTGTTAGCTCAATAGCTTAGTTCCTTCAACTAAATACCAACTCATTTGTTAATTGTTTTCATTTCTTATTTGGTTACCTTTTTTAAGGAACAACTTGTTCTTTTGTCTCACTTATCTGTTTGTGCTGGCTAATTTGCTAATTTAGTTTTGTAACAAGTTGCTGATATGATAATTGAATTCTTGCAAGAAAAGACTGACTCTCTCTCCAGAAATTTGTCTTTTCATTCTTCTAACGGACCTTCAACCGTTGCATTAAAAATACAATTTAAATTAAACATCAATTTCTCAATGGCAATATTTTTTATACATATTAGCGACATTTTCCTTTTTTCTCAAAAAAAATAGTGATTATTCGAAATATCGTGCAGATACCAAAAAGTTGTGCAAAACTTTGGAGTGAGAAAAAAGTTCAAAGAACAAAGTTGTGAAACGAAACAGATTTCATCAAATTAAATTTCACCCAAATTTCTCTGGAAAATCAAACTTTTCATTAACAAAAAGTAGTATAAAATGCTTGGCGTCTCATTAGTAATGCAAATGTCTTGTTTTCCAGAGTTCTTTTAAGTTTCTCCAACTTTAATTATTAATGAAATTCATAAACTGTGTGTTTCTACAGTGTGTTCCAAAGCAAAAGGAAAGATGTAGCTTGAGAATGGATAACATACAAATATTATAGTTTTTTTTTTTTGATTTCATAAAAGCCATTAAATTCGAAATATTTCCTTTATGAATTTCATGAATGATTCATGTACTTATTCCCAGACTTTTTCATTGAGTTGAAATTTTGCAACCAATTCTGAAGGTATCTGGGAAATTCATATTTTCAGTTCACAATAGGAAAAAATTACTCGAGCAAATTCTTATGACTCTCTCAATTTTCGAACGATGAATGCTCGGCATTGTGGAACATTAGAAAGTACAATGTCAACAAATGGTCCGCCCGATTATCGTGATAGTTTTCGAGAATTTCGATTCCGGAAAAAAATTCATATTTTTTCAGCTTCTCTGACACTCATAACCTTGGATAAATTACCTAATAGTTCATTAATCTTAAGCAAAAATTGGCAAACGAAAGATTTCCATACAAGTAACTCTGTATTTAACAATAATTAGAAATAAGGCAATCATGATTTACATGCCTCTGTAGAAAACCGGTGTGCATTTGTTTCCCGGTTTCTACGACTTTATAAACAACTAGCTTTTTAGCACTATTTGCTTGTTTATTTACGAGTGATTATGTAGGCGCTGAGTTCAATACCCAACAACTAGACTTCATTCTAATTTCCATCAATTTCAAGGTGATTGTTTCGTTAAAGATTCATAATATATTCATAAGTCTCTATCCTTACTAAAATTTTTCCAGTTTCTAAGGAATTTATTTCCTAAAAAGTAATGAATTTTCATTTTCACGTTCTTATGTTTTTCTTTTTTTCGTCCTTTGTGCAGTGAAGGTTACTTAAAGTTTTTCACAAAATTATTCGAAAATAAAATTGAACGATGCAAATTCAAAATACACTTCGGATGACTTTAATTATGAAATCTCATCGCTGAAATGTAGAAATGTAAAATCAAAAGAACATATTTCTCACCCCAAATTCATATTATCACTTCCTCGTTTTTCATAAAATTTTGATGCTTGAACTTTGTCATTGCACTAGCTTTATTCAAATTTTTCGAATCCGCTGAAAATCTTCGAGGCTCTGAAATTTATAATTTATTATGTGGTACTCTTGAACTCAAATTATATCTTTGCTAGTTCGCTTTCACATCCTTATATTCACATTTGTTGATATTTTAAATGAATATTATTCAAGTTAACAACTGTTCATCTATAGTGGTCACTTACTAGTGGTCATTGTTACCCTTTCATTTTCTATAAGTATGATGGATTGAAGGGAATTCTCTCCAGCTTGGAAAAGAATGAAAATAATTTCTGCACACTTTTCTATGGTCATTCTTTTTCCCTCTTCTCCGTTTTCATCAGTTCTGTTTTCACTTGTGCCCTTTTAGCAACTTTCCTGTTTCTGAACCTTCCTCCATCTTTTTAATTCTTTAAGCACTCCCCTGTCTTTAGCTAGAAGAATAGTATCACTCTTAGTAACTCTCGATTTTTTTTTTCTTTAGTAGCTAAACTTTCTCTTTTAATAGCTTAGTCGTCGGTAAATTGGGTAAGAAGTTAGCAATAAGTGCGATTAATTGTATTTAGAGGTGAAAAAATAAGTACGTTCGTTTGCAGGGAAGCTAAAGCCTAAATTTTTTGATATCTTTAATTTTGAATAGGCTTTGAATTCGAAATATTTCTAAAAATATGACCAGTGATGAGATTTTCTTGTTTGTGGAGAGGAAGTGTTACCTCTCAATCGAAATGAAAAAGAAATGTAACGGAAAAGCTGGTCCAACACATTAACATTGTTAATAGTACTTTTATAGTGGTGTATTTATCTTAAGATTATTCTAAAATTTCTCTCTAAACCTATCAAAATCTCACTAGATATTATATCTGAGGAGATTTAAGAAAAGTTGTTGAATTGATAATTTAAAAAGATTTAGGAAGAAGTTTTAACATGCATTTTGGATGTCTTTTTGATTTCGATCTCGAATATTACCCTTTTTATTAAACATGAAACCTTGATTCAATCAACGATTCAAAGCTCCCCATAATCCACTTTGATAGGCTAAGATTTAAAAGGAGGAAACAGTATTTCAAAATATGTATGCTATCATTCATATTTCATTCTGAAATCTTGCTGTTATTTCAGATTTTAGATATTTGAGTCGAAATGCGCATTGAGCATATTTCATTATTACATTTATTACATGCAACTTTTGGAATTGTCAATGAGGAAAGTATCACCATGCCGAATAAATCACTTGATGCTGAAACATGTAAGTATGTCACCTTAAGCTTTATCGCTCAATAATATTTGATCGTTGGACGTCCAACAGAGATTCAGGGACAGAGATTTTCTCGCAATTTTTTCATTTGTTCGAAATTTTAGAAATGAAATACTGGACGAATTGAAAAGATAAAGCAAGACAAAGACAAGTGCCTTATTATAGCCAGTGACAGACTTTCTTTTCCAAAACATTGTTTTGTTAAATTTGACATTTGAGGTATTGGAAAGAGCAGAAATTTGCTTTCAGCTATCAATGTTCTGCCATCACGGCAAACAACTCATGGCGAGATCTTGGGATATTATATGGAGTTTAACGGAATACTTGCTGAAGTTTACGAAGCCGTTCCGTATGCGCAACCACCTATCGGACCTTTGCGCTTTGAAGTAAAACTGAATTGATAGATTTTGAAGCTCAAGCATGTAGTGTACAAAGATTTTTAGTGGAACTTTCTACAGGAATCAGAAAAACTAGCTTTAAATTTTAAGCAAATTGAATTTAAAATCAATTCGGTACTTTGATTTGAGGATCAAAAGTTGTTCTCATAATACTTGTATTCTTTCAGAAGAAAAAAAAAACAACTAATAATCAGTTGTTGTTTATTCTTTATTGATCTCTTTAAAAATCATTGACGCAAACATCTCGAGTTTGTAGTTGTACGTCACATTATATCAATTGCTTTTATGTTGCTTGAGTTAAAATATATGCAACAATGAAAGAAACATAGATATCAAAGCATAAAGGAAGAAAAGTTACCTGAATGTGGCGTGGGAATTATGGATGGGTTATGTCTGTAAACAATTTCATGAAAAAATTAATTTTTTGTCTGAGGCTTTCTTGGATGCCTCTTTCTATCAATTTATAAAAGATGCTAATCAGTTGTTATTTATTCCTTACTGATCTCTTTCAAAATCATGATAAACTGTTCCTCGAATTTTGCATGCTTCATGCAATATTAATGAAATGTTAAGATTAAACTTCAGGCTACAAAGGCATTAATTGGCTGGAATAAGACACGGAATTGTGGTAAGGGTCGAATAGTGCGATGTGTGCAATTTGGACAATATTCCAACGAAGACGATGGTACAGAGGACTGCTTATATGCTACTATTATCATCCCTCATAAAAAAACGGTACTTGTAATGTTTTGCTGAGTAGAAAAAATTTCGTATTTTATTAATTAATTTATTTACATTAACAACAAACAAACAACAACTAACAACAAATTGGCCACATAAAATAGAATTCGTTGGATCTCATTTGTAATGGAATATAATAATATAAGTGTTTTAAACTTTACTTCTCAATTGCATCATTTTCTATTAAAAAGTAATACCAAGATGTCTTTAATATTTTAATCATTGTTGAGGTGTGAAAAAGTTTCAATTGATGATAAATCAACTTTACGCAATAAAAAATTTTTTATTTTCCTTCCACGTGTTGATTTCTTTCATTATGAAACAGATCAAACAGGATTCCGCTTTCTTCCGAAAGAAACATTTCGTGAATCTCAACTACTGGCACAGTGAGAATTTTTAAATTCGATGTCTTTTTCAGGAAAGAAACAAGCTGTACCCAATATTAATCTGGCTACATGGAGGCTCTTTCCAGGTAATAATAATTTTTAGCTAAACTACTTTTTCTCGGGAACTTTATATATAATATCGGAAATTGCCTCGTTGATCATTTCCAATTTTTCAGGTAGGCAGTGCGAATGTCTCTCCGATTAAATCAATCGTACAGAATTTTGCTGCAGAGAATATTATTTTTGTAGCCATAAATTATCGACTAGGCCCACTTGGTAAGTGTTCACTATTCAATTCCTTTCATTTATTCTTAACTTATGCAGTCGCTCTTCCTCTAAAAGATTGCATTTAATGATTTTGAATAGTAAGACGACGGGGAAAGAAAAGAGAGCGCTCTTATAAAAGTATAATTTCTTGAACAACTCTATAGGGATAATTTCATTTTTATGGAATGCAAATGAAGAAAAGAGCACTAAGGTGATTGAGCGTTCGTTGTTTTGAAAGGGACGACTCTTCTCATAACGAATACAACTGAAATTTCGATTGGATGCTTCATGAAGCAAAATGAGATAACTTCCTTTGAGGGCTAAAGATAGCTAATCTAGAATACAGATCACAATTATAAACTCTTCCTTTCTTATCAAAGAACAATCCACAGCATTTACTACATCAAGAAGGTACCGATAAATGATAACTAAAATGAAGGAGTAAAGAATATGAAACAATGTATTTTATCATTTTAGGATTCTTAACAGCCAGCCATCGAGATTTACATGGGAATTATGGGTTGGATGATCAAACTGAAGCAATTCGTTGGATTCGAGCAAATGCCCGAAATTTTGATGGCAATTTGAATAACATTGTTGTTGGAGGTTTAGGTGCCGGTGCTGCTTGTGCAAGTATTTTAGCCGTCTCACCAAAGACCAGGGGCAAGTTTGTTCAAAACTTATTTTGGGACAGAAATACTTGTTAGTGTGAAAAGAAAGGAGTTCACATTGGAATATATGAACATTCTGATTTATAAAAATGTATTCAAATGAAATAAGCCTAGTTTTCGACGTTCCATCTAGAACTTTTTTTGCAGTACTCAGATAGTTTTCAGCATCTTTTTTTACAGTTTACATAATAAGCTTTGCTTCTCAGTGATAATGTATTCAGGCTTATCACTGCAAATATGTTCTAGTACGAGTAGTTTGAGATTCGTTCTAACTGCATCTAGACTTTACATTGTCATTTTCTAGGATTGTTCAATGGTGTTATATTACGAAGTGGAAGTTCTATTGCTCCGTGGGCCGTACGATCCGCTTCCACTGAAAATTATTCAGCGCGTTTAATAGATTATTGTGGTTGTGGCTATAATCGAACTTTAGGAATGTTATATACAGTGGAATGCCTGAAAAAACTCCCGGTGGCAAAGTTACAGAAGGCATGGAAGCACATTGCCAAGCTGACTGCTACCATTGTTGTAAGTGCTTCTGAATAAACATTTGCCAGAATCCACGAATGCCTCTACTGATCGCTGTTCACCAGAGTAACTCATTTCAGGGTAATGAGAATAACTTGATGGGTAACACCTACTTCACGCCAACGACCGACCCATACCGCATCGAAGCCAGTGTTCTTCCCGGTGATCCAATGTCTATCTTGCGTCAAAACCCACGAATGCCTCTGCTAATCGGTGTCACAAATGGCGAAGTTACTCGATTGAGTAACATATATACTTGTACATTTATTACTACTTTTTTCTCCCTTAACTGAACAAAATGAATCGGTGTGAAGAATTCAAGGTCAGTGTAATTGTCCAATTTTAGCTTTTTCTTCAAACAAAAAATGGGTTCTTATGTGAAATTTCGACTCTTTTAGTTAAAATTTTTCTATTTTTAAATTTTAGCAAGCAATAAGCATTATGTGGAAAGCGGTGACTGGAGTCTGAATTATGTTATACCTTCTTATCTGCACGCTAATTATAAACAGGTACTAATAAACAACTTTTACAATTATATACACTAACTTTGAAAAAGAAGGAAATATGTACAATCTGTAGAGGTTAGACTTAATTCTGAATAATTTTAGAAAACACTAATTTGTGAAACGAATGTACTGCGTCTATCTTCGCAATCAATCTATCCGGCTATCTCACTGATTTGCGAGAGATTTCGAGATCATCCTGTTAACAATTTTTGTTATATAGAACTACAGAGCTAAATTTAAGGTCCAAAAAGCTGTTGAATATCAGTATCTAACAGACTATCCACAAAACTTGAATGAAGCTGAACGACGTAATGTAATTCTTGATATTTTATCTGGTAAGCTATCAAATTTTTATTCATAAAATCAATAGTTCCATCATAAATTCACGCAGTGCTATATACTGAAGTAATCGTATCCTTTTGATTCTTTGATAATAATGCTTCCAGAAAGAATATATCTTCCTTTTTGTTTCCAAATTTTGAACCGAAGAAACTTTTCAACTTTATTTTGGATGAACTTCGAAAAAACAACAAAATTTATTTTTTAACGAAAGTTTGTAAAATTCCAAATCTTTCCAGATCAATATTTTATCGCACCTGCGGCACGTGAAGCATTGCTTTATGCAAAAAAAAATCGTACTGTTTATGCATACATATTTCAGTATGAAAATGCTCAGTTATTGAAATCTGTAAGGAAAAATGGGATTCAACGAGGTGAATTATAAAAACAGAAATATTGAAATGCCTTAGTATCGTTTCGTTTCTTCAATTGCTAGCTATAGTAGCTCTTCAAAAGGTCTTATTACTGAAAAAGATATTTGATAATTAATTAAGTGAATATTGCAGGAGCTTCGCACGGTAACGACTGTTCATTTATATTTAACAATCCTACGCTCTCCGACCCATCACTTGAAACAGTTGAATGGAATGATGATGATCGGAAAATTACTCAGCAACTTGTCAGCCAAATGGCTAATTTTGTTCATAGAAGGTCAGAGGTCATGGCTTTTAATTTGAAAGAAGAAGAAATGAAAGCATTATTTGAGCTGTGAAAAGCAGAGCAGCAAACTCAATGTCTAATGACAAAAAAAAACGTTTTTAATTTTGAACAGACGAATGGAAGGGTTTTTGGCAAATAATACTATATGGTGGTAGAGAAGAAAAAACTTTCAAACAAACTTCCAATACTTTCTCGCATTTATCAAATAATTTTTAGGAATCTTAGTGAAGTTGGTTTTAAACGCTTCAGCGCTATTTATCGCGTAGCTACACCGATCAATCACCTGAATATTAATTCTCCGGTAGGATTCTATAGTAATGTAACTGGATTTTGGCATGAAGTGATTCCAGCTATCGAGCAGCTACACATTGCGCCACAATATCGAGTGCTTTTACAACCTTGTACCATGTGCCAATATCCTTACAAAATACCATTCTACATTATCTTAACAGTACTGGTAAGTTCCCATCTTCACACCAATTCCCTCCCGTGATCTATAGCTCTCTTCTTTCTCCTTCATAAATTTAATACTGCAACTATTGAATTTTTCAAGTTACAAGCTAGTATCAGCATTACTACCGTGACATGTCATTATTATGTCCTGGTGAGCAAAACTTAGAAATCCACTTATGCAAATTGATGAAGGTTGAATAGACTGACCGTCGGGGTCAAATTACATTCAGTTATGTCCGAAAAATCATAAAAATCATAATGGCTTGAAAACAAACCATAAATTCGGAGAATCATAATGGCTTAGAAAGAGATATAAATCCGGAGGATCATAATGGTTCAAGAAAGACTATAAACTGCTTATTGCAGATTTTGGTTACGGTTGGTTTACTGAGCATCTGTATTCATCGTCAACAACGTGTAAGGCAAAAGCCGACATACGCTATTGTGCATGAGTTGGAAGCTTTAAAAAGTGATGAAAAAATGAAGATGGAGCTAAATATGCCTTAACGGAAGCCATTTTATAGCTCAGAGAATTGAATATTGAGATCTCATTTCATTCGATATACTCTCTGTAAGGTGTTTATCTTTAATAGACATTTGAAAAGTTCCCTCCCAACTAGTTCTTATTATTCATTTTTAGTTAAGCAGTCAATAATGCTCTTCAATTTGCTATTCATAAATTCCTCTTTCGCTTTTTGCATTCTTCATTTACCTCAGATGATCATTTTTATTATCAGTTTCCTATTTTCATATTTGGTTATTGACCAAACAGAACAATGTGCACATTTTCAAGATTCACTCCCATTTTTAATCTAATAAACTGTGTGTTGTAAAATTAATATCTATTGACGGCTGGAAACAATATAAACAAGATTAATTAGGTATTTATCTATATCCAAAGTCCTATGTTTCCAAATCAGCAAGTAATTTGCCTTTGTTTACTTTAATGCTTATATTCTTTGTTTGAACAGATTATAACGGTTGATTTATATTTACCTACAATACTGTTTTAGGTAGTATTTCCGAATGCCATGTAATTGTCTTTTTCAATCTTTATTCACTTCAAAAATAAATTCAAACTTATATCTGTTTCCAGAAAGGAGAGAGATTCAAGTTTCTTTCCAGTAGTTTTCTTGAAAGTCTAGTAAAACTATGAATTAAGACTATAGAGACTTGGCTTACTGCAGATTTATAATACAGATAAAGATGAAAAGCTGCAACAATAAGCTTTCAAGAATATCTGATACATGTAATTGAATACTAGAACGAAGTATCTATGAAGGAGCCGAAGTTATCTATGAAGTAATGTTCACACTTTATTGAACTATTTCATTAAGAGAGAGAGAGCGAGAAAAAAAAGAGAGAAAAGAGAAGGAAGGCGAGGAATTCTGATGAATTAAATAAAAATTGCCATGAATTCGATTATATATTAACATTAGAGATTAGTAATTTGAACATAAGATCAATTTAATTCGAATATTGAAGAACTTTTATTTAATGTGTCCATCTGATTGTAATTATCTTTTTGTTCCTCTAAATTTTGTCCACTTCCATCTGCATGTGACAGTGAATGAACCGTTTTGAAGCGGTTTTTCTGCATGGCTGGATGAATTCTGGTGGATGTTGTAGGTTGAACCTCAATTATAACCCAATCTTATTAATAATAATTATAATTGATAATATTCATATCACTCTTTTCTGCTATTTTTTGAACCATTACTACATCCCTTCGCTTATACATTTGAAATTCATGTAGGAGAATGATAGCTTTGATGAAAATTTTAATTTGGGAATTTCTTAAATTTCTAAAGACTGATTGCGTGACATTCTTGTATGTCATCCTAATTGGAAGGACGATAATTTAAAATGTTAAGGATTATGAAGTAAATTCAGAAGCTCTTTTGTTTATTTATATTGATTTGTTTGAAATTAAACCATTCAAAATTCTGGAATTAATTTAGAAATGATTTTAGGAATAGGCTTGGATTTTCTCGAGTTCAATTTTTTTTTCGAGTTAATGATTGGTCGAACTTTGAGCAAATCAAGAAGCGTTTCAAAAGTCATGTCGTTAACGGAGTAACAAGTTTGTGCTGCTTTGATAAGCTTGACTACAAACAAAATGACAAGTCAATAATATTTTCCTTTTTTTTTTAGTATTTTGCACTGCATTTGCAGTGAAATCAAAAGATTTTATTATTAATCTGTGTCAATATGGCCAGTGGTCACAAAATTTTATGTTTTAAAACTTCCAATTTTGTGATAGATTAGAAAATTTTAATTATAAAATTTTATTTTGCTTCTTTTTGAAGACAATTTCCGCTGTCCTTTGTTTGAATTCGTATATCAATAACTTGGAAAATACAAAAGAATCGTCGGAAAAGTTTTACGTGTAGGAGAGAAAAAGAAAAACGAAAGGTAAAGGGGATAGTGATATGATAGCTAGAATGTTCAAATAATCACTTGTGATTTTATTGATAAAAGAAAAACAATTGGATAGTAAATGAAAAAAAAAAGTTGGTTAGAACACATTCTTCATTTTTATTCTCTTTATATGTTTTAAAAAATTGCACTTTTCGTTTTAAATACTGTTTTATTTATTGAAAGAATTACCACAAAAAAGGCCTTCATTGATTTGTGGACTGTTTTCCATGAAAAATTACATTTCTTCTCATGAAGGCTGCCAGTCCCTATTGATTAGTTATCAATTGAAGACTTACTTTTTGTCTTAAACTTTTCAAAGTTCGGATCTTGCCAAGAGGAAATTCATCGTTTAATGAGTAAAATTAAAAACAAAATTTTTATTGATATCAGCAATTGGTTGTCTTTACATTATTGTGCCAACAAAAAATGTTCGTTTTCATGAAACCGATTGTGGAGAAAAAGTTTTGAATCATCAGTTCGCTAAGTTGAGATATATTTCTCATTAAGACATCAAATTTGAAAAGTAAATTTGAAAAGTAATTTTGAAATTTTTGAAAATTTGAAAAGTAAAAAAAATTTGAAAAGTAAAAAGTAATTCGTTCCCTTGCCTCATTCCTTACATCTTCCTTTCCCCTTCTTAGCTATTCATCTTCCTTGTAGCATCCTATCAAACAAGTAACTGCTTCATTTCACTGGCAGATGTTTTGTAACTTCCCTCTTTCAAAAAAAGAAAAAAAAAAACTGCGAAAAAGAGAAGCAGATGAAAAGTCAAAAAAAATCCTTGTTTCTACAATAAATTTCGAAATTTTTTTTGAAATGGGAAATGATGACAGTATGATTCATCGATAAAATGTACTTCTAATAATAAAAAAAAATGCCTGCCGAAAACTTCATCTGACATATACCCCAACTACAAACTAATGAGATGAGTGATCATATGTCTTCCGTATCCTTAATTTCGATTAATTGTTGATACTGTTATAATGAATGTCATTTCGTTCATAGAATATCATAATTTATCTACTGAATAATTTTTTCTTTAGCCAACATTTAAATTGGAATCAATTTAGATGAGTCATATCGTGATGACTGTCGTTCCAAAAATGACAAACATTCAAGTGATGGGACCAAAGTTTTAAGGCTAAAAAAAGACCGAGAAAAAGATGTAAATCGAATTAGCTAAAGATCATGACAGTTAACCTTTTCAATCATTTTTGGGTAATTTTTTAAAAAAGTTTTGGCGAACTTTGAGAGTATAGCTTGAAATTTTTTTAAGAAATTAGAGAATGAATTTATTGGTTTGAATTTCCATGATTACGCATAGCGCATTTTCTCTAAAGAAATGAGAGAGTTTTGAGTTTTTTTTCAGATTTCAAGTTTTGAGCTGTGAAAATCATTCATGTCCGTCATATTCGCTATGTTTCGTTGTGTCAAATAGATATATTTAGTTACCATACTGATTGTCCTTTTCAACAACATTAATGTACCTCCCAGTACTATCCAAACATAAAATATATTTACTGAATAATTTTTTCTCCAACGACGCTTAAATTGTAATCAATTTAGATAAGTCGATGAAAATCGTTTCAAAAATGATAAATATTCGAATGATGTGGACCAAAGTTTCAAGCACAAAATAGATTGAGGGAAAAGATGTGAATTGAATTGGCTAAGGGTCATAACAGTTGACCTTTTCAAATTAATCTATTCGCATTGTTAAGCCAAACGACATTTTGGTGATTTTTTAAAAAGAAGTTCAGGAGGAAAAGAATTGTAAAAGGTCACATTTATACCGATTTCTTTCTCTTCTTCAATTCTTTCGCCCTTCTCTGAACATATTCTACTTTAGCCCAACAAAATGGAAAAATGATGTTCGTCTTTGATTTATTTATTCATCCGTTCATCTGTGCAAACTTTGTCAAGTAAAAATCGTTGCTTCTTCAACGTTTTGTCATTTACCTCCTATTTGTATATTATCCTTGTTTGTTCACTGGTCACTTAAAGGTTCACTCAGAGGTGCTTATCTGTCCTCTTCGCTTATTTCCTTACTCTCTTAGTGATCATTTGATAGTTCACCGATATGTCTATATGCCACTCATCCCTTACTACCAATTTAATTTAATTATTTAACAAACCGTTATTCTATGAGACTTTTGATAGATGAGTTATTTAAGATGTAATTACTTGCATTTTTACGTATCAACATAAGTGCTAGGAAGAGAGATGCTACGCCTTCCAGTAAATCTCTTATCTTCATCAACATTTATTACTCATTAATAGGCTTATTGACTGTCTTTGAAAAGGTTATAGTTTTATTACATTGGATGAACAGCTCATCAGATCGAATTAGGCGTTACAACTGCAGCTACATGATGCCTAAGTAATACATCATAATTCTTAGAAAACCTTTACGTGTAAGAGAATATGAAAGGTCATTGTTTTGGATTACCCATTGATCTGATAAGCAATAAGGTCACTTTCGTTCAGTAATATTACTGAATGCGACATTATTTTTGCTTTTCAATATCGACGTACTTTATCATTTCAACCAATTCACATTAATTTTAATCTGCCCCATTCGTCTTTTTGTATCTCAGCTCTCTTCAACTTGTCCAGGTGTGCAGTTGCTAGTTCCTCATGAAGTTTATTGATTTATTGCTGCTTTCTGAGAATCTATTCGTCAATTAACAATTCGTCCAGATTTGCATACTATATTTGGTGGGTATATTGAAAGTTTGAATTGTCTTGGGACTGATTAACATCATTCCTTTCATTTTGTTCTAATATGCACCAATAAATGCACCATTCTTACTTTAATGTTTCAGGTTCTTGATGAATAGAATTTCAGGATAAAATCAAAGGCATTTTTTAAAAAGCAATTTTATCGTTATCGTGAATGATCATTTTATTGCAATACTAAATCAAAATATCAGAATTATCTACTATCAATACAGTATCATCTACTATCATCTACTAGCAATACCAAAATTTTCCTTCGAATTCACAAAATTCGAAAATTGTCAGTATTGTTTAATTTCACTTCACTTCATGTATATCTCGAAACACAATAAGGAGAGTGGAGAAATTAACTTTGAAAAGTTTCAAAAAAACTTCTTGGAAAAATTTTTCAATGCAAAATTTTGTCAGTTAATTTTCTTACTTTTATCTATTAGAAATCTATTCACTTTTAGGAAACAAAATAGAGTATACGCATAAAAATAGAAAAGTATGCTCTTCACGAGAGGAGTTGGATTGAGATTTTTTTCAATCTGATAATCGTTTTGCTTTCTGATAAAAAATTTTTTGTTTGTGGTGCATAATAAGTAAAAAACAATTTATTAAATTTTCTAAGAGTAACTCAAACAAAAAACCTTTTGTTAATTGTTTTTATATTAAAATACTGTGATTCAATTATCTCGAAACTACTAACCGGTTCAGGAATTCGGACTTATTATTCGGTAAGTATTTAATTGTTCATTGTATTCGATTATTCGATGACGAATTGCTAAGCCAAGTCATTCACATTCCAATGCATCACAATGCAGCATTTCAATTTAATCGAAAATCTTTTTGCTGGACGATGGAATTCGATGCTAAAATTTGCGTCTCTTTGTTAACTTGAGTAAAATGGTTAACAAACTTAAACAAGAAAAGGATTTAAAGCTAAAGGTATTTCGAAACAAATACTTCACACCACAATTATTCTTTAATTAGTTTCCATGCCAATCTCTTCCCTCAAGTGAATAATTTAATTTGGAAGTTCATATTGCTTCATAAGGTATCCAACATGTGTGATATTGAATTCCTTTGGAAATCAAGATTATTGATTTAAAAATTAGCTGAGTTAAGGGAACAAAAAGCTGAAAGGAAGCTTTAGATTTCCTGATATTCTAGGTTTCTACAAGTTATATTCAGATTCGGGTAGTCTTGCACACTTCAATATTAAATCAAAACTTTTAATTTTTTAAAACTCTGACTTTGAATATTCTTTACGATTATTTCAAAGGGCTGAATAGTAGTGTAAATTTGAAAAAAAAAACGAAGAAATTTGTTATGGGTTTGAATTTAAGCATTTATTAGAAACAACTATTAAAAACATTATAGGCTACAAGAAGGAGGAAGCACAAACTTAGGAAATTTAAGTTTAATTTTACATGACCGTCTTGTACATTGCTTCATATACCATATACCAACGTCAGTATCAACAGTCAATGTTCTGCTGCTTAGATGGCAAAATCTGAATTGTCAAAGTGTTTTTTTTTCTAAATCTTATCACTTTCAAAACAATCTGGTACACATTTCGTGCTCATCAGTCTTCATTTTCTTTTTTTTTCACTGAATCGCTATCATTATTTCCCTTCCTTATCATTTAGATTCAAAATCAAAGAAAGCAAAATTTATTTTTGAAAGAAGAGAGGGATGACGAAGAGATGGGAAGAAAAAGAGCAATGCAAAATTAAGAAAAAAAACAAGAGAAATGTTTATTCGAGAGAATTTCTCAAGTTTTGGCATTAATAGCTAGAGATTGAAACACATTTTATTTGCGTAAATTCGATAGAAATTAAGGCTTGAATAATTGTTTGCTTTCAGGCTGAAGCACAAATCTGAAACTCTTCAAACCTTGCTTTCTATCGAGCCTGCGTATATTTGGAGGATATGTGTTTGGTGTAAAAAGGTGCGAAAATAATTTTGACCTTGACATCATCGAAAGATATATTTGTAACGACTTGCATTTCGGTGCATTGTTGTGCAGGAAATTTTTTTTGATGCTAATTTTTTGAATCAAAAATTTTCGTTTAAATGATCATAAAAAATTTCCCGAATTTATTCTTTCTATAGAGATCGCAAGCAATTCAAATTTTGAAAAGTAAATGAACTTTTTTTTGGCTCACGTCGGTCACTGATATTATGTTGATTTTTTCTGATATGATGTCAACTTTGAAAATTATTTCAAAATATGTGAAACGAACATGCCTAGCGCGAAGATAGACGAAAGCTAGTGTAAACATCTCCGATAGACAAACACCCAGTAACTCTATGAGATTTAAACCTATTTACCTTGCAGGTAAGAAGTAAAGATCAGACTTGCAGTTGAGTTATGCTTTACGTTATTCCTTTCCTGGCAATCTAAGTTGTTCGTAAACTTTTAGGAAGGTTCATCCAAAGCAAGTGAAATATTGTTTTTTGACAATGTTTTGTACTAAGATTAAAGCTTTGTACTAAACTTGAAGTTTCATGCTAGCTTTATAATTTTAAAGTTGAAACCTATATGCATTTTGTTCTATTCTTAGAATAGAAAAATTCAAAATCAAAGTACATCAAATATGCACTAATCACTAATTTTGCTTCAGTAATCTCTACATCGCTCATTTAGTTTGACAGGACTGCTTAATCCGTTTGATCTATTTACTGAGGAGGTAAAAAACGTAAATCAGTGCAAAGCAGATTAACTATTATAACCTCCCTTTCCCTTGCTGGTTTTTTTCTGTTGTTTCCGATCGACTGCCAACAGAGGCGTCTTCTTCAATAACGGTGGCATCTGTTCGTGCTGTAGCAAATCATTTCTTCATCGTTCTACTAGAAACTCTTTCTTTCTATTTTGATGATTTCAGCATCAAAAAAACTCCTTTATTCCGTACATAATATAGTTGTCCAATGATACGGATATCATCAGATAATAGGATACGAATTCGATGATCTTATTTTGGTGAGAAGTATCATTAAATCCTGAATATGGTTGCTTTTAGACAATTCTATTTGTTGGATTCCCAATTTCAACTTATCTCTGCAATTTGCAGTACAGATTATTAGTTTAATTTGAGGTTTGTGTCACTTAGTTCCAATAGTTTTTCCACATTTTCCATCATCAATTTTTGCAATCAAATTCAATTTGCAATCGATTGCAAACGATTTGGTCGGGTCATTTCTGCTCTTTTCATTTGTCAATCGTAAATTATCAAATGAACACCAAGAAAGGAATTTAAACAGATGGAAGCGAACGTCACAAAGATAGTTTTAGAGACTGTTGTGTATCGGTGTTGCTTTTGACGAGTTTAAAATTTTTTTTTTGAAACCAATAAGGAATGCATGCTGTAAAATATCGATTACAACTTATCATTCAACCTCGCTAATCAAAAGGCATTTGCTCATGACATAATCTTGCTTTCTGCAGTAATCCACGTGTATGAATCTACCTGATGACAAAGAAAAAATCAGTTAGCTGATAATGGGTTTTGTGAAATGGGCGAAAAGTATGAGATGGTTGAAGCATTATATGACTAACCATCTTGTACAGTAGGCATTAAATTATGGGCTTATTGTTATTGCCGAGCCGCCTCTATTATGGAAATGCTTAGTTACGGACCCGGCCCGAATTGACTCAGCACCAAATTGATCGTTTTCTCAACAATACCCACCAAATGGATGGACGGTATGATGGTGACGATAAAACGAGTATTGCTGACGGTCAGTTGGGGATGGTTGAAATGATAGTACTTGAAAAGTGTTGTTTGGAAGGTCATCTAATTCTTAATTAAAAATACTTATTAAACAATAGCAAATTCTTGTTATACATTTGATGCAAAAAACATATTTCCAATGGTTAAAATGGAAAAAAAAAAATAGTGCTAAATAATCAATTATTCACTGTCAGAAGGTTCCTTTTTTATCCATGGATATGATTTCTGAAAAGCTGGATGCACAACTAAATTTCGACTTTTTTTTTTTTGTAAAACCAACGTGCGCTTTCTTTAAAAGACTGATTAGCCTTCTGACATACTTGAAAATATTAAAACTTGCGCTTCTTTTATTGAAAAAAAAGATTTTATTTGCTTCGTTTAGCTTCAAACTTTTAGTTTTTATTTTAGAAATATTTTCATTTCAGAGGACAGTTTATTGCCGACAATATATCCGAATAAATCACAATTTATAGGGGGAATTTATTTCATTGGAAAAAGCTGTTGATAGCTGTTGAAAGAGAAAAGTTTTCTTTGATCATTTTCGATCAATACTTTTCTTTTAAATTTACCATCCTATGAAAATTTTCAGTAATTTTAAAAATTTCAGTTGGTCTTGCTAAAATTCGAGTAATTTTTTTAAATTTAGTTTTTTGGTTTTCTTTTTTTAATTCTGAGAGGAGAAATTAAAATATTTTCAAGTTTAACCGTAAGAGAATTGTTAATCGATCAGAGTGACTCTTATTTTGTTTGAGATGCCAAAGCTCATTCGTAGAAGTGTGTTAATACAATTAGACATAACTATGACGAAATGCTGCGACTGAACGAAACTCAATGTCTTTCCTGTTTTGGACACATTTTCCGGAAAAAAAGTAAATACATTTTCTATTTCCTTCCCAACAGGTTATTGGAAAGGAAATAGAAAATGTATTTACTTTTTGAGAGAAGAGAGGAGCAAAGGAAAGATGAATATAATATCTGAATTGAATTATGAAATGAATTTATTTGTTCAGTACTAGTAGTAGCTGTTATAGATTTTTGAAACCTGCAAAGAAGATGACCAAGCAGCGGTCAGCAATGACCAAATAACGTCAAATAATGCTGTAATGCACTGTCCAATCAACAGTACACTTTCCTTTATGCATCATCCAATCTGGTATTGTGCTATATCAAGTTGCATATATCAGTTATCATTAATGCTTGATTATATTCCGTCTATTGAATCCATGGTTACCGTACAGCACTTTTTTGTTGCTTTAAGAAGTGCCTAATTTGTTAATTAAAAGTCCGATGAAATGAATAACTTCACTGATCGGAACAACCATATCGAGGTATAATCCGCAAAAATTTCATTTGATAGCATCACAGATTCGTCACTTACCTGTCATCAGTCGAACACACATACACGCCCACAGACACACACACATACATATATACACACACACATACAGATACACAAACTAGTGGTTGGTGACAAATTGTGTGAACTATTGTCACAACCCATATACTTTCTACCCACTAGTGGATTCAAAGCTCTTCCGTTTGATCTTTGTTCAGCGTCGTAAATCCATCTGTCATCTCTCCTTCATGTTTGTTTATTTACATTGCCTTACTTACAAAGTATTATTTTGGTTGATGTGATGTTGCTAACAACGTAGTAGTTGTAGTTGTAGTAGTGATAAATGAAGTAGTTGTAGTAGTGATAAATGAACCATGATAAGAGATCACTGTAATCATTGATTGTTGTAAATGAAGAGTGGGGTAATTTGAGGGATATTAGACTGAAACTTCTATATTCATCAAAAAAGAAAAACCTTGTTAATGCTTTCTTCCTCATATAATAGTCCAAATTAACCCAACTGAGACTGCTACAAATTGGAAGTATTGATTACTGCACTCTTCAATATGAATGTGACTGATACTCCTATCTTCTATCCTTATAATTCTCGGAGAAATCCAAAAATGATTTGAAGCTATCTTTGGGATTAGGATGATGAGAGTAATGTTGATATGCATAATACATTTTCATTACTACTCCAATTATCATTGGCGATATAGTCGAAAAGTTGTGAGGGAAGCATAGATGTCCTTGAGTATTGTATAAAATGTAATTACCGTATTTCCATTTCATGCTTTTTGATAAGGAAGGTAATTATTAGTGGAGCAGTGGTAATGTCATATTATGGCTTCTCGCATTGCATTTGTTCGTTTCTATAAATGTTTCTTCTTAAAATTTACAAAAAATTACCTATTTATGTATCATTATGATAATTATTGGTTTCTATGTACTCACAAATGATGTCCGTCAAGCCCAATTCTGCCAGCCGCACCTGAAAGAAGAAACATTACAACGAAATGATTTTGCATGAATTGTAGAAAAACTTTTTGATGGGACTTGCCTCTGTCTGGTTGATATGTGTCTCTCAACCACTTCATGTCGTTCTTTCCGCCCCAAACAGCCGCAGTTTTTATCCTTTCTCTAATTTTCTTTAGCGAGTTGTATTTGATATTGGCATGAGTTGTTATAATTTGGAATAGTTGAGTGCATCAAATAATTTAAAGATTTATCAATAATGAGATGAAATATTAGCAGAAGAAATATCGCGACTTCTGTGTATCAATGGATTTTTGAGTAAAATTCAGAATCACTACAACAGGATTCTTACCGATAGAAGGAATAAAATGGAGAGGAAACGCTCTCACCCATCTTCATTTATTATTATTATTATTATTATTATTATTATTATTATTATTATTATTATTATTATTATTATTATTATTATTATTATTATTATTATTATTATTATTATTATTATTATTATTATTATTATTATTATTATTATTATTATTATTATTATTATTATTATTATTATTATTATTATTATTATTATTATTATTATTATTATTATTATTATT